CCAAGTCCACAAGCGGGTAACCAGCACGGCCAGTAAACTCCAAACCTATGGAGTTTACCCTCATGACAGCTGGAACACATCCACACCAGGAACAGCAGGGAGGGTAGAGACACCCACTCCTCCTGCCGGCGAAAACGGGAACTACCTCAAAACTGCCAGAGCAGTCAAACGACACGTCTACACCGCACGGCAGCACAGGTGAGACTTCAATAGAACGTAAGTGGTGGCCCTTTTGAACCATTACCAGTATCAAGAGCTGATACTGGAGATCTGTGGAGGTGCGACTGCACCCTGCGTGACAGGAGATGTCTCCCGTGAAAGACTGGCTGCTGGTGAGCTGCTTATATAGGCGGGCCAGGCTTAGTGTAGATGGCGCTGATGTACAGGTAACTATAGCTGGCAGTCTCAAACAAGCAGTTAAGGGTTGGTCGACCGGCGAGTGGCGCTGGGCCCCAGACAGGTGTCCAGGTGTCTCGGGTGCTTGAGGGTGAAGGGGGTTGGTGTCTTTTCTATACACAGGCTTCTGAGCACGTATTGTTGTTGTTGATGTTGATTTATACTGGAGTATGCAGATATGTTGTTGAATAGGCGGTAAAGGAATATTCAGGATCTCCTTGTCTAAGCTATATATATATATATATATATATATATATATATATATATATATATATATATATATATATATATATATATATATATATATATATATATATATATATATATCTATATATATATATATATATATATATATATATATATATATATATATATATATATATATATATATATATATATATATATATATTGGGTACCACCTCTAGTGCAATTGTAGGGACCCACAGCCTCGAAGAAGAAAATAAAGAGTATTCAGAGACCTTGTGGATTCTCGCTGAACACTGATATTTCTGTCTCCTACCATCCCTATTTTTTTTTCTTAAATTTTATTTTATTTTATTACATTGCTGCTACAGTTTACAGAAAACACACACAAATAACAACCAACGTTCGAAGACCTCATCCAGCTCTTCGGAGGTTGGGTGCATTCCCAAGATACAGCACGCATTTCCTCTCTGGACTGCGACACTGAGGTGCTGGAACAGGAAACTGGCTGCTCTTGATTTTTTAGTTTTCCCAATGAGTTCCTCACCCACCTCCTTTAGGAACTTAAGTGCACATTTACCTCAGACGCTCAGGATTTCAGAGCCTATCGAAAACCTGCACGAACCTGTAACAACGTTCTAGATCCCTGTACTTGTTAGTTTTCTGGGTCTCCCTGAAGGTGGCCACCCCACCTCCCTCAGCTATAAAGCGAGGTAGATATGTATCAGCCAATACGGGAGACATCTCCCGTCACGCAGGGTGCAGTCGCACCACAGATCTCCAGTATCATCTATTGATAATGGAAATGGCTCAAAAGGGCCACCACTTATGGGCTATTCATGCCCATGCCACCTTTTGGGTGGCTTAATCTTCTCTCTCTCTCTCTCTCTCTCTCTCTCTCTCTCTCTCTCTCTCTCTCTCTATCAGCCAATGTAGACGCACACGTGTAGTCCCACACAACCTGCTTACCATCCCTCCATGGCGTAAGGGTGACTCCATCTGGCCGTTTGTTACTGTTGTCAGGTCTGCACAACTGAGGTTCACTTTGTGCTGGACACCTAGCTGTAGCCAAACTTCTCTTGATGATGTCACTGACTGCTTCATGTCTGGCAATCTTTCCCGGTGACTTACGACAGATGAGACCATGGCTGTCATATTGGTCCGCCCGTGCATAGCCGGTGTTCGGTGGAGATAGGGGCGGCAGGGCAACACCAATACTTAGGGCCCAATGGTTCAGGTGGGTGCCAAAGGCGGAATTAGGGACAGCCAATAGGTAGTTCCCGGCATGAGGAACTTGCACAGTTAGGAGACGCTGCCTCCAGCATTGCTGTGGCAATATTCTCCACTATGGGGCTGTCCCATTTGGCTTGTTTGCAGTCGTTTGGAAAAGTTGATCGAGGATGAGGGTTGGCAAGATTATCCCACTGGCCGGCTCGGTCTGCAAATTTGGGATCATGAATTCCAATGGAGTCTCTTAGGTATCCTGGTAGTATTTCATTCATTAATTCACCTGTAGCACTAGTCGAGGATAAGAAAGCCGGCAATGCTAACTGTGTCGCCTTGCGAATACCTATATAGCCCTGAGTCTAACTGGGAGCGTTGCATGGTCCCATTGGTCATCTTGCAGAGAGAGGTTTTGCACTTTCATGGTTATTGATTTTAGGAGCGCATCATATGTTGTTAATTTTGGACTGTCGAAGGAGGGAGCACACCTTAGGAAACAGGTAAGCCTGGGCAAAGCCAGGCACCTTGTGAGGCGGTACAAAGCATCGTGGGCATCCAAAGCCCCTAATTCTTCCCTCCATCCTCCTCAGGTCGTTCAGTTTTCTTCAAGGACTACCTCAATGGCGCTCGAGCCCAGAGGTGTCCCTAGAAGCACACTTGGTGGGAGTGCTCCTGGCAACACGGTTCGTACTGCATCTATGATTGGTTGGCTAGATGAGAAGATTTCACACCTTGATGGATTTAGAGTGAGTCCTAACTCCTCTTCCCTAGATTTTACTAGCTGTAGATCCCCTAAAAGAGACTCCTGTGTCCCTGCCAGTGTGCCATCGTTCAGGAACCAGATGAGTTAGCTGGTCAACCTGCTTGTGACCTCTTTAGCTGCCATGCAGAAAAGGAAAGGGGCAAGTGGGTCTCCTTGCTGGACACCTGCGGAAACAACTTCATGTTCCCCAAACAACAGTGTCGATTTCCTACTGTAACCTGCTGAAACGAAGGGGGGAGTAGACCAGGAAAGCTTGTTCGAACTGCGTCCAATACCACATCCCTTTTTACCTCGTTGAAAGCATTTTTAAAGTCTAATTTAATTAATGCCTTATTTTCTGGAAGGTGATTAATATAGGCTCGTGCTGCATGAGCTGCTGCTTCACAGCCATAGGGGACACCAAAACCTAGTTGATGGGGTCGAAGCATCGTTGCAGCTTCCGTGCGGATATTTCTTATAGATGCCCTGGCAACGAGGCGCCGAAGTGTGTTACCCACGGCAATGGGTCTGACTCCACCATCCTTCTTAAGGGGACACAGGGATGCTCCGAAGAAGAAGAAGAGTTTAATTGTATCTGGGATCAGCCCAGAGAGGCAGTTGTTGACAAACTTCGTGACCTCTGACAGTAGTGTGTCTGCAACTTCGCCGATAACCTGGGTTTGCCATCTCCTGTAGGTGCTGAGGTCTTACTCCAGTGTATCCCCCTGCTGAGCCTGGCGGAAATGACATGATGGCTTTGGCTTCTCTCTCAGTGAGTCGGCAGTACTGTAGCTGCATTTCTAGGTGCGTTTGTGTCTTAGCTGGTAAGTAACCTAATTGCCCCTACTGTGTTGCCCTCTTCAATTTTTTTGGTCACGTGTGTTCCCAGTTTAAAATTGTCATTGGAACTCTTGGGTCTGCCACGGCGGTTTTTGCGTTGAGGAGGGATGGGGATCAAGTTGTCAGCTCTGGGGAAATTGTTAATTGCCCTAGTGACTGATGAGGCTAACGACTTGCCTCCTCTTCCAGGAATGTCAAAGCAAATACCTATAAGAAGAGGTAATTGTCGAAGTTTGTTAAAACTAACAAATTTGTTCAAACCTAACAGAACATAAGTCAATACCGTAATTTATTTTCTTAATATAATAATAATATTAATTCAAATAAGCCAGTCTGAAAAAGTACTGTATATGAAGACAAAATCACTCCGCCTGTGAGGCAAATCGGGCCTTGCATACTTGGCCAAGTAATCCGGTTCTGGCTATTAGGCACGACTACATTCAATTTCTTTATTATGCACCCCATACCTATCCCATGGACGGTGGTGGAAAGGGTTACAGAGGCACATTATGGGTTCGGGAACTGAACCCCATAGTTAGTCCAGCTAAGCAAGTGATAATCTTGTGAAGTTAGTTACACAATTGTTAATATTATATATACACATGTACATATATATACAATCATTTACACAAATACATATCAATAATCTTTATACATCACAAGTGATTCAACAAGAGGCTCACAACAGTCACTATACAAGGCACTTTACATCTGTGGTGAGTCACACAGTTACTAATCTTCCTCCACACCCACCCAATTGGGTGGCAGCTTTACAGTCATGTGCTCCACACCCACTCAACTGGGCGGCAGCTTTACAAACATGTGTTCCACACCCACCCAACTGGGCGGCAGCTTTACAGACATATGCTCCACACCCACCCAACTGGGCGGCAGCTGTACAGTCATGTGCTCCACACCCACCCAACTGGGCGGCAGCTTTACAGTCATGTGCTCCACACCCACCCAACTGGGCGGCAGCTTTCCAGTCATGTGCTCCACACCCACCCAACTGGGCGGCAGCTGTACAGTCATGTGCTCCACACCCACCCAACTGGGCGGCAGCTTTACAGTCATGTGCTCCACACCCACCCAACTGGGCGGCAGCTTTACAGTCATGTGCTCCACACCCACCCAACTGGGCGGCAGCTGTACAGTCATGTGCTCCACACCCACCCAACTTGGCAGTAGCTTTACAGTCATGTGCTCCACACCCACCCAACTTGGCAGTAGCTTTACAGTCATGTGCTCCACACCCACCCAACTGGGCGGCAGCCTTACAGTCATGTGCTCCACACCCACCCAACTGGGCAGCAGCCTTACAAAATTTTTAAATTTAAATTTTGCCCCGAGGGGCATAAAAATAGTATGCAATAAGCTAATAATGTCTCAAAAGGAAATGCAAACTTAAAACACAAAGATACAAAGAAATATAAATATGTGTTGGCAGTGAATAATAATAATAATAATAATAATAATAATAATAATAATAATAATAATAATAATAATAATAATAATAATAATAATAATAATAATAATAAGAATAATAATAATAAGAATATAGAATGGCAGCATGCGGCGGCGGGGGTCGGGGGCTGGGAGCGGCCGGAGCCTCACTCCGTCGCTGGACGTGGCACGAGCACCGTCTCGCTCCTCCGACTCTTTGTCTTATTACTCTTGGTGATCATGCCCGACGACGAGGGAGAGAAGGTGGTGGAGGTGGCTGAGGACGTGGGCCACGCCTACGGGGACTGGTTCAAGCGGTACATGCGTCTCTTCTGTCGCCGGGCCCTCGAGTGGTTCATGGTGTTCATGTTCGGCTATTACAACGTGAGCTTCGGCTGGCTGATGGCGCCTCTCTTCTTCCTGGTTCTGAGGGACAAGAGAGCCAAGGAGAAGCAGGTGAAGTTTGACATCATTCGATCGATCGCCAACACTGACGAGAAGGATATACTGCAGGAGATCCAGCGGTTCTCCAACCTGCCGTCATGGGTGAGTGTGTTACCACGCCTACCATCCCTGCTGCTGCCGCCCCCACATGTCTTCCTCAGCACCAGCAGCACACCCCTCACCTCTGCTGTTGGTACATAGCATCTCCAGCACCGTGTTATCTCGCCGGTTATCGCCCACTGATATCCTGGCATCATCTTGTGCCGCCTGTCAGGCCATTTAAAGGCGAACAGTATGCTGCGTGAGCCGGACTGGTCTACGTCACCTGCTTGATGAGGGGTGGCCAGACCAGAAGGGTGGTGTGTGTGTGGCCACTGTTGTGAGGGGGTGGCCAGGCCTGGGGGTAATGTGTGGCCACTTGTGAGGGGTGGCCAGGCCTGGGGGTGGTGTGTGGCCACTGTTGAGGGGTGGCCAGGCCTGGGAGTGGTGTGTGGCCACTGTTGTGAGGGGTGGCCAGGCCGGGGTGTGTGGTGTATGGCCAATGTTGTGAGGGGTGGCCAGGCCGGGGTGTGTGGTGTATGGCCACTGTTGAGAGGTGGCCAGGCCGGGGTGTGTGGTGAATGGCCACTGTTGTGAGAGGTGGCCAGGCCAGGGTGGGTGGTGTGTGGCCACTTGTGAGGGGTGGCCAGCCTAGGGGGGTGGTGTGTGGCCACTTGTGAGGGGTGGCCAGGCCAGGGGGGTGGTGTGTGGCCACTGTTATGGATGATGGTGTGGCCACGTTGTGTTTGTGTTTCGGGGGAGGGAGTGGGGGGTTGCCTTCCCGGGGGTGCAGCCACACCCCCCCAACACACTGACATTGAACCGCGACCTTCCCCGGGTCCCCAGGTGAGGGGGTGGGCTGGTACTGGGTCCCTCCTCCCCCCTGCATACACTATACCACTACACACGCGCGTGCGCACCACCCATACACGCACCTCATGAACCCCCCCCACACACACACACACAATTATTATCATACATATATTTTTTCATGTAGTAAGGGTACCACCTCTAGTGCAATTGTAGGGACCCATAGCCTGGGAGAAGAAAATAGTGTATGTGTGTGTGTGTGTATATATATATATATATATATATATATATATATATATATATATATATATATATATTATATACTGGCAGCAGGTTTTCTTTTATGCATGTCTCATTGAATATGACCGCATATTCCGTATTTACTATTTTCTCATTTAGGGCTTCTATCCCTCTTACTAGCGCTCTTGATCAGGGTTCAGCTGGAAGAGTTCACCGAAAGTCATGTTCGTTTTCAAGGCGAAGAAAAAGAATTGAATAACTGAAGAATGTATTACACTTATTATAACAATTATTTTATAATAATATATAAAATGTATTATTTATAATTTATTATAATATACTTATAAAAATGTATTACACTTTTGTTTGTTTATATATATATATATATATATATATATATATATATATATATATATATATATATATATATATATATATATATATATATATATATATATAATATAGACCACACAGGAAGGATTTAAGACAGGAATTTCCTTATGTACTTTCGTATTTATTAATACATCTTGTGTGAAAAAAGCTAGTGGAACATCTGGAGCGAAGGACCTTTGTGACACAACATCAACATGGGTTTAGGGATGGCAAGTCATGCCTCAGGATTAATTGAAGTCTACAATCAGGCAAGGAAGAGAGGGGGTGGGCAGACTGCATATTCTTGGATTGCCAGAAAGCCTTTGACTTAGTATCAAAGTATTTTTCCACACAAGATACTAGTGCAAAAGCTGGAGACGCAAGCAGGAGTGAAAAGGAAGGTACTCCATTGGATAAGGGAGTACCTAAGTAACAGAAGACAGCGAGTCACTGTGACTCGGTCACTTCCCCCTTCAGAGCAGGAGAGATTGCTGAAATAGAGGGAATACAGAGAACATATACGGCACGCATAGACGAGATAAAACGCCTAAATTATTGGGATCGTCTCAAAGCTCTCCAAATGTACTCTCTAGAAGGGAGACGAGAGATGCCAAATAATATACACATGGAAAATACTGGAGGGTCAGGTCCCAAATCTACACAGTAAAATAACAACGTACTGGAGTGAACGATATGGAAGAAAATGCAAGATTGAACCAGTGAAGAGCAGAGGTGCCATAGGCACAGTCAGAGAGCACTGTATAAACATCAGAGGTCCGCGGTTGTTCAACGTCCTCCCAGCGACTATAAGTAGTATTACCGGAACAACCGTGGACATCTTCGAGAGAAAACTGGACAGTTTTCTAAGAGAAGTTCCGGATCAGCCGGGCTGTGGTGGGTATGTGGCCCTGCGGGCCGCTCCAAGCAACAGCCTGGTGGACCAGACTCTCACAAGTCGAGCCTGGCCTCGGGCCGGGCTTGGGGAGTATAAGAACTCCTGGAACCCCATCAACCAGGAGGGGGTGAGGCCTCAGATGGGCGAGGCGTCACCAGTGGAAACCCGCAGGGTTCTGTCCCTTGACCCATACTGTTTGATATATGTAAATGATCTCCCAGACGGTATAGAATCGTTCCTCTCATTGTTTGCTAATGATGCAAAAATTATGAGGATTAAGACGGAGGAAGATAGTACGAGGCTACAAGATGACCTAGATAAACTGAATGAATGGTCCAACAAATGGCTACTAAAGTTCAACCCGAGTAAATGTAAGATAATAAAACTAAACAGTGGAAACAGGAGGCCAGACACAGGATATCGAATGGGAGATGAAGTCCTTCATGAAACGGACAGAAAGATCTAGGAGTTGATATCACACCAAACTTATCCTCTGGATCCCACATAAAAAGAATCTCTGCAGCGTATGCAAGACTGGCTAACATCAGAACTGCCTTCAGGAACCTGTGTAAGGAATCATTCAGAACCTTGTATACCACATATGTAAGACCAATCCTGGAATATGCGGTCCCAGCATGGAGCTCGTACGTTGTCAAGCACAAGACGAAGCTGGAAAAAGTTCACATGGATGCCACTAGGCTAGTCCCAGAAATAAGAGACATGAGTTACGAGGAAAGGCTGCGGGAAATGCACCTCACGACACTGGAAGACACAAGAATAAGGGGAGACATGATCACTACCTACAAAATTCTGAGGACTTGACAGGGTAGATAAAGATACTGTTTAACACGGGTGGTACGCGAACAAGAGAGACAGGTGAAAACTGAGTACCCAAATGAGCCACAGGGACGTTAGAAAGAACTTTTTTCAGTGTCAGAATAGTTAACTGATGGAATGCATTAGTCAGTGATGTGGTGGAGGCTGACTCCATACACAGTTTCAAATGTAGATATGATAGAACGCAATAGGCTCAGGAACCTGTACACCAGTTGATTGACAGTTGAGAGGCGGGACCAAAGAGCCAGAGCTCAACCACCGCAAGCACAACTAGGTAAGTTCATCTATTGTTATCCTTTAATTTGTTCCTCATTAAGTACCAATTTCCTAACTCATATTTACGCAAGTCTTATCGGCACCTAAACATCCAATTTATTATGTTCATTATTTCGTGTCTGCTGGCAACGATTCCCACGGTGTAAAAATTGACTAGCTGTATAATGTAATAAATCACTTGTATCAAGTCCAGTAAACAAATGTGAAAATGTGTAACGAGACTAGATGATTGGCTCGAGTGATTATTTTGGATTACAACTGTCTGAAGTGTTCTTAATATGTTATGCTCTACAAGCTACATGGTGATTTTTTAGTATCGATTATCTGGAGTTTCATACTCATTGGTTTCTTGTTCCCACAGTCACCCCATGTAATTTTGTTTGGGAAATCGGCAGCAAAGGCGGCCGTGTAGTGAGGGAGAGGTTAGATGCGTCCACGAGACGACACGGCTCTATTTAGGAAGCAAGCGACGTGAATGTGGTGGCGGCGAGTGTGCCCCAGTGGCAGGTTGTTGATCCCGACGTGGCGTGCTCTCTGCCACTCCTCCCTCCTGCCGTTCCTTTTCCCCCTCCCCCTCAACCCTCCAGTTTACCCGACCTGATTTGACCCGACTGAGTGAATGAATGAATCGATTGTACAGGTAAAGAAAGGGTGAGCGGGAAGTGGGGACAGACGGAAGAAAAGTCTGGAGAGGAAACTTCGTGGTCGCAGCGACCCGACTGCCTACCGTTTTCCTGGTGCCTCTCACCTGTTATCTTACCGGAACAATAATTCCTCCTCACCCTCGCCACATTTTCCCTCATCACATTTCCCAGCCACTTTCACAATGCTCTGTCTTGGTTTACCGGAAGAGAAACTTTAACCTTGGGTTAGGGAACTTTGCCGAGACCAATGTTTGTTATATAATGTTTAACTTGCAGAAAGGAAAGTGGAGTAATGACGATGGTGTTGGAAAACCAAATATTATGTGCGTATGCAATGGGAGCACTATTATTACGTCTGGGAATTATTAATATTGAACCAGCTGGAAGAGTTAAGATGGTAACACTGTAGATAGGCTGAAGCGATGATGCGGTAACTGAAGAAGCAACTGTTGAGGTCAGCTGTGAGATTCGTGGCCAGGAGCACGCCTCCACTTGCTTTGGAAACTTCCTCCTGGAATATACAACATTGGAAGATGAGAAAAATATAGACTTACACTATTAGAAGAGCTGTAGGCTGGTAGAGACAGGTGACTAGCAGACAGTTAAGACAAGACACAAGGAGACATAAAGGAGTAAGATGGGTATTATAAAAGGAAGAAATAGGTAGATGAGGATCACCCATCACACTTGTTGGGTAATTAATGCGACCTAATACAAAAAATAGTGTTTAGAAGTGTACAGCAAACACAAAAGGTAGGTAGACTTAGTTTTCGTTGATTCACTTTAAGGCATATTTTCTCGTAGGCTAAAATCACATTTGAACCAATCACAATAAAATCACAGGCTGAAGAATCAACAGGCATCCCCCCTTCCCCACCCTACACCCAGTTTACAAGCGAAAGCAGCAACACACACACACACACACACACACACACACACACACACACACACACACACACACACACACACACACACACACACACACACACACAC